ACAGTTTGATTTCATCTTAAATCTAACAGCGTGGAAAACAGCCGTAACAGAGACACCGCGCCCCCATGAGCCACCCACGGTCCTACAGGGGATGTCAACGAAAGGCACAGACAGGGGCAGACGGGGAAGATGGAGCTCACAGGACACGGAGGGGAGCGGGAGAGGACGGAGCAGAGGACAGAGGAGAGGAGGGCGGGGAAGGGAGGGAGGCGGCACTCTCCGCCACACTCGTCCCAGAGCTTGTCCCAGAGCGAGATCTCCACCTGGGGAGCAGGAAGAGCACCCCCGGAGATGGCCCAGGCCACGTTCAGGGACAGCACCCCGTGCCCCGCTGGCTGGCTGGGCAGGGCCAGGACACACCGGGGGCCTGGGCAGGGGCTGCCTTGGGTCCAGCTGTGCACACTCCAAGGGCAGGCCCACCTGTGACAGGCCCAGGTCTCCGGGGGACAGGGGAGCCACCCTGCGTCGGCACCAGGTGAGCCAGCCGGGCCTTGCAGGGCTCTCTGTGGCCGAGGGCTCCCTCAGCTCCTGCCTGCTCAGGTCGCTAAGCCCGACTCAGGCCTGACCACCAGCAAGCCCAGCGCTCTCCCCGTGCAGTGCCCCAGAGGACCCAGAGGGCCAGGACCCCTGGTCAGTACGTCCCTCAACCCTCGTGTCTGCTGTGTGGCCTGATGCGGCCACCAGCCATCGTGGTCATCTGTGAGCAGGACCCCGGAGCCGGGCCAGGGGTCAGGGGACCAACACGTTGAGAAGCCTCCACAGGCTCGGAGAGCGGCCGCCCGCAGGCCCTACCCGGACAGCCGAGCTCCCCGACGCCCTGAGCCTGCGTCCTCAGAAGAGCCGGGATGACCCCAGAGGGCCTGTGGGCCCAGCCACGCCAAGCACCAGAGGCCGCCCAGCACCCTCCTCTCACGTCGGGACCTCCCTGCTGGGTCCCAGAGAGCTTGGGGGCCCGGCGGCAGGGTCTGCACATGTTCGCGGTAGAACCCTGGGAACACCACGGCCCTTGCTGAAGGGATCTCCTGGCGACTGCGCGCTCGGTCGCAGAGGCTGCCCGTCACCGCCAGCCCAGGACTCCCGCTGGGATAGTCAGGGCCGCGGACCTCTCAGATTCAGGGAGCAGCAGCTCAGAAGCACGAGCCCTCCCAGGACCTCGGGGTCCCCCGCCCCCAGGCACAGGCACTGCTGTGGGCCTGGCACCCCAGCCCCGTGGCCAGTGCATAGGTCCTGCCCCCAGCCCAGAGTCAGCACAGGGAAGACCAGGTGGGGGTCTCTGTAGAGCCCACACCCCCCTGGAGAAGGGGGCCGAGCCCTCAGGATCCCCCTTGTCGGACTGCGTGGACTCCACCTGGTTTACTCCTCAGAGCCGGGGGGTCTGCAGCCGCGGCCTCTGGGTCAGAGCTCTCCCTCACTGACGCCGGGAGCTATGGCGCGGCCCCCACCGCACGGGCTGCTCCTCTCCCCTCAGACTTGGCGGGCGGACGCAGGGCGGCTCTGCCCAGGGCTGTGACCCATGTCCCACTTGGAAGGCCACTGGGGGAGGCACCCACTAAGGCCCGGTGGGCAGGGGGCATCTGTCGGGCGGCCACAGCTCTGACGCAAGGACAGCCACCTCCTGCCTGAGCCCAGCGTCCGTGCAGGGAGCTGCGCCCAAACCCAGACCCAAACGGCCCCTGTGCGACAGCTTCTCTAACGGGGGCAGGGAAGGCAGGCGAGACCCCAGGGTGGGCAGGATACGTGGGGGGCTGGGCATGGGGCTGGCAGAGGGAACCGGAGGTCATAGGAGGAGGGCACCCAACAGAGACTGACTGGCCCGCACCAAACCCCTGGCTGGGGACCAGGTCAGGAAGGGCCGCGTGCCAGCTCTCGGGGGCTGGGTGGCGCTGCGCCCCACACCGCACAGCCCAATTCTGCGCGTTCGCAGGCCGGATGCGCCGGTCCACGAGCTCGGGGTGGGGAGCAGCCCCTCAGCCAGCGCTCACGGTGCAAACCACGAAGGGTCCTTTGGCCGAGTTAAAAATGCCCCAGGAAAAGAGCAGCAGGGTGTCTAAGACACCGCAGCCCAGGCCCAGAGGCACGGGGTGCCCACGGGGCAGCGAAGGCCCCGGTGCGGGAGAACACCGCCTGCCGCGGGAGAAACGGCAAACGCGGATGTGGGAGAGGAAACCGGCTCCTCACAGCGCGACGGTCCACGCCCGCCTGCCGCGCCCGCTGGGGAAGCAGGAGTCACCCCAGAAGGTCAGCCTGGGTCAGCCGCCAGGGCCACCGCAGCCCAAGGGTGCCTGCGCGTCCCTGCACGGAGCGTCCCCTGCAGGGCGGAACGCTGGAAACCCTCAGGGACCCCCAGATACGCGCCTTGTGGCCCAACCTCGTGGTCCAAGTCATGGCGACTTGGGTCAGACAGCAACGTGCAGACGTGTCCTAGGACCCGTGTGTGTGCACCTCCCAGACACAGGCCGGCAGGGCAGGGGCTGCCCGGCCTGGCCGGCCTCTCCTGCCGCCAGGGGGGCTGAGGTGGGGCCGGGCCGTGTGGCCGGTGGGTGGACCCGCCTGCATCGCGTGCCCCTGGGGAGGTCCAGGGCCAGGTGGAATGGCTTCCTTTCTGGAATCCACTCTTCAATCAGTGAGTGTGCAACATGGGAGAGCAGGCAGATGGGATTTACAGCATTTTTGCTATAGAGACTTCCTTATTTTCTTATTTTACTGGAAGCTTCTCACATGCGCTTGTTCTATAAATAACCTCAATGGAGGACGGCAGCCTCCTTTAGGAGCAGAGCAGCCCCTGCCTATCGGTGAGCGGGCACCGACTGGCTGGGGCGGAAGGCACTGCCGTGAGGGGCACAGAGACAACCCCGCCAGCTCCAGCCCCCGCCGCACCACCCTGGGTAGAGCCAGGGCAAGCTCCGGCCTTGCCTGGAAAGAGACCCCGCCCTGGCGCTCAGCGCCGGCCATGGGCTCAGACACACTCACGGTGCCCTGAACTCTGTGTGGGCCGGTCACACAGGGGCACTTCCCCTTCTGGGAGGACACCCCTCGTTGGCACGGCAACTGCCGAGCTCCAGGCCAGGAGAGGCCGGGGCTTCACCGGGCAAATCGGCGCAGCTGCAGGCCACACTGACGCGGGTGCAGAGGCCCAGCAGGCCCAGGACAGCTCACGCGGCAGCCAGCGCCGGGGTCCTCAGATAGGACAAGTGCGGCTGGATGGGGTGGGGCTGACCGGAGCTGGGACGCCGGCCTGGGAAGTGCTCTCCCAGCAGACGCCTTCCACGTTCCTCCTGACTGGCGGTGCCTGTGTAGAAGGTCACACTACAAGTTCAAAAAGGAAACTGCCTCCAACACGGCCTATCACTGCTTCCATTCTTCATGTGGCTTAGGGACTGTGACTAGGCAGAACCTCGTTGGTAAGGTTTCAGTAAGACTCTTTGTCCTTGCGGCTGAGTAAAAGGAAAAGTCCCTCAATAATCTCCGTAAGCAAATGGTTAAGTCCCTGCTGGAGGCCACCGCTGTGGGGCAGCTCGCCTCGTCCGCACTCTCCCCTCGGGGACCTGCGGGTCTCCAGCCAGCTCCCCGGGAGCACCGTGAGCTCACGCGGCCACTTCCCGTCTCCAGCTGCTCACACGTCAGAGAAGAGCCCCCACCCTGGGACGCCGCTCCCCCGCCCGCCTGCGGCAGCCCCACCCGCGGCGCCCACGCACCTGCTCCTGTGTGAAGTTCTTGCTGGGCCCCAGCAGGTAGGGGGTGATGAAGCTCTCCCCGGGCCGCATCTGCGCCATGAAGCCGTAGAAGCAGAGGTAGAACACCAGGCACCGCCACGACTGGAGCTCGAGGTCCGGCCCGGCCTCTGCGGGCGCCTGCTTCTCCACCGTGGGGCTGGAGGGCATCGTGCTGCCCAGGCCCACACGGAAGCCTGGAGGGGACGGCGGGGACACGCCAGCTGGAAGGAAGAGCCAGGAGTCAGGGCTGCTCAGCAGCCAGCCCGCACGCACCTCCCTTCCCCCAAAAGGAGCTTGGCGCAAAGGGGCCCCCTCCTCCTCCTCACTCGGGCAGCAGTCAACACCAGCGTGGTGGCCGGCACAGGCCCAGACCCGGCCTCAACCTGGACCACCAACCTGAGTGTCACCTGGAGCCTGCGTCAGTCCGGAAGCCACCCAGACCAGCTGTCACCACCTCCAAGGCTGACAGAAGCCTCCAGCCATGTGGGGTTATTTAAGTGTTAATTAAAGCCAAACTAATTAACTTAATTTCTTAACAAAATTTGAAACTCAGGGTTTGGGGGACACACCTGACTCACTTCACAGAGTGGGAGCGGGAGCTGTGGCTGCCCAGCTGGGCACGGCCCCTCGCCCCACGGGCCCGGGCAGCCCCCGTGCGAGCTGCTGCTCTGTGGCACTCGGGCGGCGCAGGGAGGGTGCAGGTAGGAACCGCTCCTTCTGGAGGTCAGGCACACACCTGGCCACACCCTGGCAGCCAGCAGCCAGTGACAGGTGGCACAAGCTATAGGGCAGAGACCTAGCAAGGTCCCGTGGGCCCCTGGGGTCAGATCCAGCACACAGCACAGGGCACGGCTCCCGGAGCCACAGGCGGGCGAAGGCCACGGTGGGGAGGAGAGTGGGGGGTATCCTCGAGGGGCTGAGGGCAGCTGGGGGCAAGACGGGTGTGGAGAGGACGACGGGACAGAGCGCAGGCCCAGCTGGAGCCCAGGGACCTGCAGTCCCGAGGGGCAGGTTCCCCTAAAGAGCAGGAGCCAACGGGGGCGGTGAGGCGGGTGTGACGCGTTCCCCACGGAGCCCGCACGACGGGCCTGTCTTCATGAGGCCACCAGAGCCCGACCTCAGGGCTGCCGAGCGGGTCCCTGGGGCCTCTGCGTGAGGCAGCGGCAGGCGGCAGCCGAGAGGACCCTGCTTCAGCCCCTCCCCCCGTCCTGACTCTGCCAGGAGAAAGGCTGTCGGGTGCGGGCAGCGCGCTTGTAACCCGCCAACTGCCCTCTCCAGTAGGGGCAGGAACCCCGTCCACTCATCCGAGCACAAGGTCATCTGCGGCCTGTCTTTACACCTGCGTCGCTGTAGCCAGCGCGTTTTCCGCTAAGGTGCTCCTGTCTAAGTCGGCCAGGCAGCGAGCTGCCACGGAGTGGCAGGCGGAGAAGGCGCTCACGCCAAGCTGACCTGTCCCGCTGGCCTGTGTCAGGCTGACCTCCAGTCCCAGGCAGGCCTGGCGGCGTCCACACGCAGGGGTGTGTCAGACGCAGAGGGCAGCGCCAATAGCACACGCTGGGCTGACGCGTGGCTGGACGACTCACTGCACGGCCTTGGCAAGGGCGTCTGCAGAGGGAGAAGCTCCTCCAACCCTCGGGCAGGGGGCACAGAGAACTCCCTAGACGTGGGACCAGCTTTGGGGGTCCAGGGACCGCCGGGGACAGTCACCCCCAGATTTTTGGCACTTAGCCCCCTGGGCTCAGAGACCACGCAGGCTGGAAGTGCTCCCGAACCCGCCCACCTGACACGTGCGCGAGAGAGAGGTGGCCCGCGGGGACCCAGCGTCCGTCTCCGACCCTGCACGTTCACGGCTGCGACAAGGGAAAGCGGGCAGGGTCCCGGCTGGGAAGCCCCAGAGCTGCAGCCGCCGGAGGGCTTGTGGGGGCTGCAGGGAAGGGGAGGGCAGGACCCCGGCCGCACAAATTCCAGAGAGTTCCAAGGGGAGGAGACGCCAGGGGAGACGATGGGACAGTGCCCTCCACCGAGGGCGGCAGTGACCCCGAAGTCCTCGCAGGCTGGAATGAAGGCCGGCAGGCGGGCCGGGAGGCACGCACAGGCCGCGTGCTGCTTCGGCCACAAATCCGAGGCCTCCTGCAGCTCCCTGGGAGCCTGGGCAGCAGCAGGGAGGAGGTTAGCGACCCCGACGCCCGGGGAGGCCACAGGCAGAGCCCAGCACCGCGCGGTGCACCCCCAGGGAGACCCTGCTCAGCGCCGGGGCTCACCTCGAGCTCACTGGCCCCGTCGGCCGGCCGGACGGTGCCCTGCTCCCTGCACGCCCACTGCGGCCGAGGCTGAGCCCTCAAGAATTTAACGGAGGCCGTGGCACCCCAAGGGCCCAGGTGTACTCAGCCCCCTGTTCTGGAAGGCGCCGTCTCCAGAGGTAGTAGGAACTCCCTTCCTCGGTGTCTCCAGGAAGTCCCAGATGCCAGCGCAAGGCACTCACTCCTGAGGCTGCAGAAACCCAGAGGAGGAGCTTCCCACACGCAGGGACAGCTCACCCAGAACCTGCCCCACCGAGTCGCCTGCAGGCCTGGGGCGTAGACCAGGACTCTGCCCTTTAACATGTCCGCCAGGTGAGCCCGAGCAGGTGACCCACCACACCTGCCTGGAAAGGTTGCTGCCCGGATTCCCAGCGTCGAGGGGAGGAAGCTCCCGTGAACAGCCAGTCTGACCGGCCCCAGCGCAGCAGCCTGTCCCAGCCCAGGGCGCAGCAGGCCCCAGGCGCTCCCCAGCTGAGGGGCCCCAGCCCAGCTTGTCCGCCAGGATCACGACACAGAGGAGGAGCCTCGCTCCCCAGAAGAAATCAACAAGAACCCGGTCCAGACTCTGGGAGCCCCACAACACACTGAGTGCTGGCCTGGGGAGCAGAGTAGCTGGGGTTCAGGTCCCCAAAGCTGCCTTCCCGACGGAGCCTCCTGCAAGCTCCCCCCCCATCCAGCCCAGCCCATGCTCAGGGTCCCCCACCAAGCTCCCCAACCTTACAGGCTGCCACCCCTGCCACTCGGGGAAGCTGTGCAGCGTCTGAGATCCAGGTGGAGGCTCAGGAGGCCAGCCAGGGCCCTGGCCCCCCTGTGTTCTTGGACCACACGATCTCGAAGGGGCTAAGGGCCCGAGCATGTCTCCAGAGCTCACCCTGGGCTCCATGACACTACAGGACTCACCCCCAAGGACCCCTGCTGGGAAGTGCCCTCCCCCTGGGCATCTCCATACCCACCTGCTGGGCAGAGATGCAGAGGGGTCCAACAGGGAGCTGAGCACACCCCGGGCCCTCTCACCCAGGGGGCACAGTCACAGGCCCAAGTGACCACCAGGTCCGTGCAAAGAGGAACTCAAGCTCCTTCCCTGCTCAGGAAAGGGGACAAGGGACGCACTCTCCTAGGACGGGAGCCAAGAGGCGCTCGCTCTGGACAAAGGCGGCTGCCTGTCCTGAGAGGACCTTTACTCCCGCGTCCCACAGGACCAGCCCGGAGGAGGCGGCAACAGCAGTGACATGATAAGGAGAAGCAGGGACATGGAGGAGGCGGCAACAGCAGTGACATGATAAGGAGAAGCAGGGACATGGAGGAGGCGGCAACAGCAGTGACATGATAAGGAGAAACAGGGATGGTGCCAGGCCCCCAGGGACAGCCACATTCTCCTCTGCTTCACACATTCTTCCTGAGCCTTGTTCTAAAAACCTGCCCCTCCCACGCATGCAGGGCCCTTCCCCAGCTCCTAGGGTGGGGGCGCAGTCCTGGACCACCCCTGCAGGAGCCTTTCCTGGTGGGAGATGCGCCTGCCCGGGCACCCAGGGCGACACGGGCGCAGGACGCCTCTGGGGGATCCCGCATGGCAGTGCTGTCCCGTGGGGGCCACAGCCAGGCCACCGTGCAGGGGGGATCATCTATCTGAACTAAGCGGACCTCCTGGGGACAGGAGGCGGTCTCCACTCTGGAATGTGCGTCTCTTCCATGCATTTCCCACACTCTCAGCACTGTTGGATACGCAGCTGCACAAACTTTGAAAACAGATCTGGGGCTGCCAATTCCAGAGCCTACAAGCCAAATAACAGCATAGCTGAGACGCAAGCCAGGGCAGGTGACAGGCCCTGGGGAGGAATTTGGCCCGTCCCAGGAGCACTGGCTGTCACACAGGAACAGGGACCAAAAATCCAGGGTCTTAACTTGAAATCCGATTTTTAATGTTGGCCACTAATGGAAAAAATGTTGAATACGACAGCAATTTGCAACCCCAAGGCAGGGCGGGAAGGCCTCCAGCCCTGTTTACTCTGCAGTCTGCAGGAGGACAGGCTGGGGCGGCTGCCCTGGCCACCACCTGCGAGGCGCTGAGGATCAAAGACAGCCAGGCCGGGGGTCCGGCCTCAAGTCTGCCTTCCTGCCAGTCTATTCAACTCACGTGAAGTGAGTGTAATCCCATGACCAGTGGTCAGCACCGCTGAGACTCAAAGTCCTCTGGTTGCTACGACAGACTTACAGCCCAGCCGGGCTCACGCTCCAGGAGATGGGGGAACCCAGTCCTGTGCTCGCAGGAAACGGATCCTGGAAGACCCCGGCCCAGCCCTGTGCAACTTCAGGCCTCTTCCAGGCAGCTGAAGGAGTTCCCCGGCGGGCGGGGGGGTTTGGGGGGGGGCTTGGGGCCGGCGGCTTTCGGGGGAGGTTTTTGGCGGCCCCCCAAGTCCCGGGCCCTACTGCCCCGTCTGGCCACCCCGCAGCACCTGCCGTGGGAGCGGGCCGAGTACCAGCTCCCTGCCCCACTCTGTCCCCTCAGCACCCAGGGAGGCTGGAGATTGCCGGACCAACACAAAGCAGCACCACACATCATTTTGTGTTTTAAACCAGCTACTCGAAGGCTAACCGGGAAGGTTCATTACATTTTCAGAACACCTGCTAGTGAGAAAAAGAACAAAGAAAACATCGTTGCACCTCCCCAGTTCAGATGAACAACTCCAGTGTTCCTAAGAGTAAACCCTCCGGCTGTCACTGCTGCAGGCCCAGATCATAAGTTTAAAACTCGAGAAACAGTGTTTCCTATCTTTGTCCAGCACACATAACTGTAATATCGGGAATTACAAAAATCCACGGAAGTCCCCTCCGAAAGAAGGCAATTAGCCGTGCAAATGCAGTGTCCCGCACAAAGGCAGTGGGTCAGAGGCGTGGGCTCCCAGGCCTGGAGAGGGCGGGCAGGTCTACTGGGCCAGAGGGGCCTCAGTTCTGCTGATTCCATCTTGGGGGGAGACCACCCCTTTAGATGGCGACCCAGCAGGCAGCTTCACTTTGGAAGCACTCTGTGGTTCAGGGCTGGCTTGGACTTCAACCTGTGTGCTGACACCAGGCGGGCCAGACTCCCCAGGACGACGTGAACGGCCCTGGGAGACAGTTCTCCTGCTGTGGCCATGCTGGGACCCATTCAGGGCAAGGCT